GGGGCGGGCTAGCGTCTGCAGCCTGGTTGAAATGAGATGGAGCACCTGGCAATTTGAATAGTAATGAAAGCTTCCAGAATGCCAGGAGAGTCTGGAACAATAAAAGCAAAGGAGAGATGAGAAGCTTCTGTCTAAATGCAGGTGAAGTGTGGACATGGCTCCTGGGATGACAATAGCTTATAGCCATTTAGCGCTGGCTGGCTGCCTGGCCAGGGCAGAAGCCGTGACACATTTCCTGGGGTGTTCTCCCAGCAACCCCACAGTTGGGACAGCTATAAGTACATTTTTACAAGGGAGCAGAAGGCAGGGATGCTGGGAGAAGCATGGGAGGTGGGGTAGATGCAGTACCAGGGCACAGTGGCAGCCTGGGCAGCAGATGTGGTCACAGCAGGTGGCAGGTCTCCAGTAGGAGGTGCTGTTCCTGCAAAGGATGGAAAGCAACGTGCATTCTGAGGCGACATGCTCACAGTGGGGCTGGATGAGGATGTGAGCAGGCTAAGCCCCTCCTCTAAACTGCAGCAGAGCTAAGTACATACCCACCCCTGACCACCATCACACATTTGAGTAGGGATATGTGGACAAGGCCGCTAAAGTCCCCTGCCTGATGCCTGGGGACTGTGATTCCACCTTAACAGTCAGGGAGCTTGCTGCTGGGATCCCATTCAGGGTCCTAACAAGATGCATGGTCAAGCTCATCCGGCTGGGCATGCCCAGGAGAGTCTTAGACACGAAAGGGTCTCAGAAGCAGTGGTTGAAGAGATGACTCAACAGTTAAAAGCATTGACTGCTCTTGCAGGGGACCCAAATTCTATTCCCAGCACCCACACAGAGGCTCACAACTGCCAATAACTTCAGTTGCAAGAGATCCAGCTCCCTCTTCTGGCCTCAGCAGGAACCAGCCATGCAAGCGGTACACAGACTTAGGTTGAGCATCCATACACATGAAACTTTAAAACAGCTTTAAAGAAAGGAAGCAGATACAGGGGTCAGAGGGCAGCTGCTAGAGGGGGGCATGGGCCAGTGAGGGTAAGTACCTCAAGAAGTCCCCATACAGCCTTCTGAAGAAGCGGGCCTGCCACCTGGATGTAGGTGTCGAAACATCCTGTGGCTCTGAGGCCTCAGTTCTAGGGTCCCTGGGTTCCAGGGCCCCATGACTCTGGGGTCCCTGAGTTCCGGGGTCCCTCCGCTCTGCTCCACACTGTAGAAGTGTGTGTGTTTGCCTCTGCACCCAACCTGCCTGCAGCTCAGCTTTGTGTCCAGAGTCTCGGACACAAGACCCTGGCTTGGCTGCTAGGAGCATGAACCAGGTCCTGGTTAGCCCTCGGGATGAGCTCGACTCCCTTCCTCCCAGCTATGGCCACCTGCTTCCGTGAGCCTCCTCAACTCATCTGCTCAGCAGGGATGTGCATGGGTATTGCGTAAGTAGGGAGAGAATCCTTGGACAAGAGGACGGCAGTGATGTCACCTTCAGAAGCCAGTGACCTGTACCAGGGAAGCTTCCAGGTCCACGTTCAACCAGCATGAGGTATCGGTAACTCATTGGTTCCCTCACAGGCCCCTGTCCATCAGCAAGTCTTTTTAGGAAGGGTCTCTTGGGTCACCCAGCAGGACAGTTATTGACTGTGGCCTCAGTTTAAAAGGGATGAGCAACGAGGGTGATGTGGAGGAGAGTGACTCTGGCTTGCACTCATCTGTGCTGGGGCCATGGAGGCTTCTTGGGACCAACTTCTCCTTGGCTGTTTGACCTTGGATGTGCTCATGACCTTTCGGAACCCCAGTACCATTAAATGGCAGGAAGAACTCCCACCTGAGAGGTTGGTAGGATGGGATGGCCTTGACCTCTCCCTATCCGGGGTCTGGCTCCCTGTCACTCCCTGGTGGGTCTCCCTGAGAAAGGGTGATGCCTCTCTATGAGAATGCTGTTGGCAGAGTGTCCTCCAGAGTCCACTCTGCCTGAGGACATTGTGGTACTGTGAAGAACTCACCGTGTGAGATGAAGGTGTGTGTCAGTTGCTGGAAGGCTTGCCTAGTATGCATGAAGTCCCGTGTTCCATGCCCAGAACCACATGAACTGGGTATGGGAAGGCAAGAGGATCAGAAGTCCAGGGCCAGCCTGGGCTACATGAGACTCTTTCAAAGCAATGACCTTGAACATGAGCCCTGATCACTCCTTCAGAAAGAAGCTGCCTGGCAGCTGAGGGCATGCCCTTGTCCTGCTGGCCAGGGAGCCTCTGCGGGGTTACAGCCCGGAGGACAGGTCAGCAGGCAGCAGATCTTGGGAGTGGGACTGCAGGGTGGGTCGGGGACCCTGGAGCTCCCAGATTCTAGTCCATCCTGCTATCCCCCTCCCTGTCTTTTCTCTCTCTTTCTCAGCAGTGGGAGGCCCGGGCCTTTTAACACACGCGTCCATGTAGTTAATTTTTAATGTCGCACTGGTCAATAATTGATGGGACTGCCTTAACAGGGAACTTGTGTTCTACATCAGCCGCCGCTCAGGCCGCCATCCTTCCTCCCGAAGGCCTCTGTCTGGAACTGCCCACCTCCCCCGTGGGGATCAAGGCGCCTTCACCTCCTGCACCAAAGGTTTCAAAGCACTTACCCCCTCTTGTTCCATTAGCATCACCAGCAGCCCAAGAAGGTCAGGAGGCTCTGTGGAAAGGTGACACGGAGGGTCACGGCTGCCCACGGTCAAACAGCATGGGGGGCGGAGGGTAGAACAAGGCGCCCGCTCCTGCCCAGTACTCTGCTATGACGCTGTGAACTCTGATGACTCAGGCATGCCTTGCCCTCCTCCTACGGAGTGGCTAGGGCTCCTACTGCGGGGGACACAGAGAGAGGGGACCCTCAGAAGAAGGAGCCCTCATCCATCAAGGAAATGGTCTCAGCAAGGTTCTGAGGGATGAATAGGAGTTGGCTATGGCTGGGAAACAGTAATAAGTGCTGGGATCAAGTCTATTATGATAGTCTGCCCTGACCTGCAGCCCAGTCTTGGGTATATGCATGTCTTGTGAATCATGTGGAGTAAATGTCATCTACTGCACCTAGGGTGTCACTTCTTGTCCCTGATTATCCATGACTGCTGGTCATGTTGGTCCCACTTGTGTTCTCTCAAGCCTGGGTGCAGACTGGGACCTGTTTCTTCTTTCTGCAGACTAACCTGTGAGTCACCCAGGCCCAGGGCAGGCTCCCTGTCATGGTTAGCTTTAGCAATTCTCTTCACACGCGCCTGGGGTTGTCTGAGAAGAAGGACCCTCAGCTGAAGAACTGCACAGGCCAGACCAGCCTGGGGGCATATCTACCTACAGGGCATTTTCTTGATTGCTAATTGTCGTAGGAGGGTCCAGCCCCCTGTGGGCGGTGTCATTCCTAGGCAGGTGGGCCTGGGCTGTAGAAGAAAGCTAACTGGGCAAGGGAGTCACTAAACAGCACTCTCCTGTAGTTTCTGCTTCCATCTCTTGCCTTGACTTGCTGAGGTGTAACCCATACACCGAATAAACTCCTCCCTAAGTTGCTCTTAGTCAGGGTTTTATCACAGCTACAGAAAACTATCTAGGACACCATCCTAGAAGCACCATCTAGGGTCAAACCCAAGCACAATGCGTAAACACATTCACTTCCTGGTACACAAGGACATACTATGTCACACAGATGCCACAGCACACCACGTGCTGGTACACATTCAGCCGTGAATCAGAGAATACAGACATGAAGGTACATACACATCCAGCCCCCCACACACGAAGATACATACTCACAGACGTGCACACAGACACAGGTACACAGACACATGCACACACACCACCCCACTTCCTTGTCTACTTGTTGGGGAAGTCCTGTGTATATGTCAATAAATTACTGCTGGCCAATAGGAATCTAGATAGGTGGGGCTAGGAGTCTAGGAGGATTCTGGGAAGGAGAAAGAAGAGAGTTCGAGATGTAACCGCCATTGGGGTAGGAAGCCCAAAAACCTCTCCGGTAAGAGACATACTTAGATTAACAATTATGGGGTAAATACTTAAGTCAGAGCTAGCCAGTAAGAAACAAGCAAGGCCAACAGCTTCATAATTAATACAGCGTCTTGTGTGTTTATTTGGGGACTACAAAGCGGCAGAGCCCAGGTGGCTGGCGGGTGATAAACCAAAGCGGCTAGCAAAAGAAAAAGCTTCTCTTAACATCTACTGCTACCAGAACAACCAGAGACAAGCCATCTTTCAGGGGTGGTAGCTTACCCATCATCCCTCCTGGCCACCATGCCTGCTGGAGACCCACCTGTCCTTTGGGCATCTCTGGCCTCCTGTTCACCCGTGACTTGTTCTCTGGCTACTCAGGATCCACCCCGCCTTCCTCTTCTCCCCTGAAACCCAGAGCGTCCAGCCCTCAGTACAGTGACCTACCATGCCATGCCCAAGTCTCTCTGGAGTCTACTGTGCTCTTTCACCTGCCCGGAATTCACCTTTTCTAGGTCCTCCTGTCCTCCTCAAAAACAGCCCGTGCAGCCCCTACCCCTGGCCTGGGCACAGCCACTGTTCTCTTGGTGGCACCTGCCCACTGTGGTACTAGGCCTTCCCAACCCCCACCAAGCAGCTCAGGTTTCTCAGACTAATGGACTGCTGTGCTCCTGTCCCCAGGCTCCACAAAGAGTTCTGCCCCCCTCCTCGTGCTGTCAGCTGGGAGACACACTATTGCCATTGACTGACTAATGGCTTTTAGGAAGACGGCATCGGTCCATTACATGTGTGTATTGATCGGGACACATCTGGATTTGAGCTCTGTGAGGCAACAAAGATACGTCCTTGGAAACACAAAAGAGGCAGGGACGCAGTGATTACAAGAGAGAGACCTGGAGGTGCAGCTCTCCCTATGCCCTCTGACCCCTGGCCCCGTCGAATGGAGGAAGTTGTCTGATAAGGGAATCCGGCTCCCACACTGTGGGTGTACTGGTCAGGGGATGCCTAGAGAGGCTATTGGGTAGCTCAGGTCAGGAGATCATGGCAGGAGGAGGTAGGAGGGTCTGTGGAGGTGAAGCCTGTCCCCCTGAAGTAGCAGCCAAGGGTTCCTGGATGGGAGGAGGCTTTTGTCCTCCATGAGACTCCAGTAAAGTGTCTTAGGTGCTCACTTGGCTGGGGTAGGGAAATTGGAAAGGAGGACTGGAGAGTGATGGAGACTACAGAAATTCTGGGGCTGTAGGCCCTGCGCAGCTGTGCATCTTGGCTCTTCCCACTCAGAACCACGGCGCCCAGCTCCAGATGTTGAGTCTTTTCGAACCCCAGCCCATGCAGCCAGCATGACTCAGGAAGAGGAGGTGGGATTACAAAGATCCAGGGACCAAGTGGATAGCAACAAATTCAACCCCAGGTCCTTCTTCCGTGTGGCTGGAGGAGCAACGGCACAAGGTATCCTCTGCTTCCAGCTAGGGTGGGGCCTGGGCCATGTCCCTTCCTCCAAAGCACATGAGTGGGAAGAAACAGGCGGGTGTGGGCTTTTGGTATCCTTCTCATGGGTAGGTTGCTGTTGCTCGGAGCATGATTATAGGTATTTTTTTCATGAACGTGGAGGGACCCTCCCTCCCTCATGAAGGGTCATACCCGGCCTTCATGAAATGCCTCTTTACTGGTGACTCTTCTTATACAATTACTGCGTTAGGACATTTAATGAAAATTCCATACAAGTGTGTGGGTTGGATCACTGTGGTCTCCACAACAGGGTGCAGGCCTGGGTGAGGATGGTCACTTGGGAAATGTCATGTTGCAGACTCCCAGCAGACCCTTCCTGCAGTCTCCTGAAGCCCCTGCTTTCCCAGGTAGGTAGGTAGGGGCTTACTCAAAAGACGCAGAGATCCAGACCCAAAGGCTGCCCTTGCCCAGCCTGCTGAGAGGCTCCTGGCCCTCCAGACCTACAGTCTGCTGTGAACTGAGGCTGGAAGAGATGCCTGCAACCTCCCTGCTCCATCAAGGTCACTCTGGAGTGGCCTTTGAAGTGGCTTCCCTGGCTGTCTCTAAGATGTGCCCTTGATGGAAGGCATTGATTTTTCCAAGCAAAGCAGGTGGAGGTCAGCGTGGGCCTTCTCCAAGTCAATGGTAGCTTCTGAAAGCTCTGGGCTCTGCCTTCTTCACCTCTTGGCTCCTAACCCTCAACACAGGATAGGATAGTCAGCCTCCAATAAGCATTGGTTGTCTGAGTGAGGGTTCCGTGATGTCTGTGCAACCCTTGCTACCACTCAGGCTGGCATGAAGCAGGCTGGGGCCAGGAAGCTGGTAAAGAGGAGCCTGTGATAGCCCCTTCAGGGACAAAGGTTCCAGTCTTACAGAAAAAGGGGCCAGTCTGGCTTTCCACCCTTCCCTGGAATGGCCTGGAGCTGGGAGGAGCTGATAAACTGACCTTCTAGAACCATGGTGGTCCCATGTGCTGACCACCAGCCTGTGGGTGACCCTGTAGACACTGAGTTACTTGTTAACATATGCAGAAGAGTCACATTTGTCCCCAGAGAGGTCACAGTCCAAGGGGCAGGTGAGGCTATTTAAGGTGGCAACATTCCAGCACTGGGATCCTCATGCCCGGTGTCAGAGTTGGCAAGCACTAAACATTCTGTCCTCAGAGGTCAGCAAAGTCCCCACACACTGACTGAACCCAGCACACTGGGCGGAGCACACGCTGCCTGTTTTTGAGGTGCAAATACCCCAGCTCACTATCACTAAATGCAGAAGGGATGCCCCAGGCTAGCCCATCCCAGTCCATCCTGCAGATAGCTCCCAGACAAGACATTACATTCTGTTAACTCAGCAGCATAGCCATGGCCAAGGCAGGAATGTAACAGGAAGTGTGGAGCTTTGAAGGGCCATGCCCATTACTGTATATCTAACCACTAGCTTACACTGTTTAACTTTGTAGCCATTTAACGAGAAACCTCTTGTTTCCACCATCTTTCTAGCCAGTCTTGGCGTGGGACAGAAAACTCCTTTGCCTGTGGGACATTAGTAGGAAACACTGAGAATCCAGCCGGAGCTGTGCCACTCAGAGCAGGCCTGGTTTTTCCAGAAAAGCAACTCGACTGAAAGTTAATTAAAAAATGTATTTAGTAAACAGTGAGGGGGTGGAGGAGAACCCCAAGGAACCAAGATTTGAGAAATAAATGCTGCTTTATAGAAACAGAGACAATTATCATTGGTCTTGGAGGCACAGCGAAATAGACAGGAGGCTCATCAAGAGAGGAGACAGAATGAATTAGTAACATCTCCATGACAATTAAAGAGATAGCGCCCCAGAGTTGCATCATGATCCAAGGCATCTGTGGTGTCACCAGACCCGGCAGCTGTGCATGGAGCCATCAGACCGCTGCTCCTCTGGAGTCTGTCCGGAGGAAGTAACTCACTTTGGAGAGAGGCCAGGGCCAGTGAGGTGTTGGTTGCACCCCTGGTTTCCCACAGCCCTGCCACTGCTGTTTGTCACAGCAAAAGAAAAAAAAAAAGAGTATGCGCTGTCTTAAAAGTCGCTCTGTGGGGAACTAAGTTAATGCCAGCCTGCGGGATCTTCACAACCGAGTAGATGCTAAAACGATGTTTAGAGACATTAAGGAAATCCGCATGATAATGGCCAATTTACTGTGAATAAAGCCAGAATGCAAGTGCTGTGTGTCTTTGAAGGGAAGGCAAAAAGTAGGCACAGGGGGACAGCAGGAAGCAAAACAGCAGCCAGGTGGGCCTGATGGCTTTCCCCCCTCCATTGTTTACTAATTAAATAAGACCAATAATAGTAACTCCTGTTCACTGAGAAATGGGCCTGGAACACTGGAATCCTCGGTAGGAGTCCATGAGGCAATCTGGTTTGTACCCATTTCATATATGGGAACACAGAGGCTCCAAGAGGCGGGTGTGTATGAATCCAGGTCCAATTCTGAGACAGTTGTTCTCAGTCTGCTAGAGTCTGACTAGGAAACGTGGGGATTAAACTGACTGGAAGTAAGTGGGGGTGCAGCACAGTTGCACAGCCCGGCCTCCTGTGGGGGGGGGGGGAAGACAGATAGATCAGACAGCCAGTGAAGGGCAGGTGGTTGGCTGGGTGGACTGTCAGGAGAGTGGGGGGAGGGGTGGGTTGCAGGCAATGGACAGAGGTTGGGTGGGGGGTGGACAGGGAGTGGCCGGGGGTTGGGCAGCAGGTGGGGAGGTGGGGGGCAGGCAAGTGGGTGGGCAGGGGGAGGACAGGGGGTGGTCAGGGGGAGGGCAGAGGGTGGGCAGGGGGAGGGCAGGGGGTGGTTGGGGGTGGATAGGCAGGTGGGCAGGCAGGTGGGCAGGCAGGCCGCTACTTCAGCTGGGTCCTTGAGTGCTAGGAACAACTCTGGTCTTGGAATAAGAGAAAGGGTAAAGGCCCTGATGCCCAAGCCTCCTGGCCAGGCAAGTACCAGATCTCCTGAGCCTTCAGGGAGGGGCGGAACATCGAGAGCCCAGGCTGAGATTCCATCACTGCTGCCCCCATGCCACAGGGCTTCTTATAGGGCTACTTGGAGCCCTAGGTTTCCTATGTTTTCGGGGACACTCGGAGACCCTCCAGGGGTGGGTGAGGCCCACTTAGGGAATCCACACTCTCCAGCTGGTGACACACCCAGCCTGGGACAGGTGTCCTAGGTGTCTTAGGAGGCAGATGTCTCCATAGAGAAGGGACTTACATGTCTGGAGCATGGGCTCTGACATCAGTCATCCTGAATTCCATGTCCTGCCTAGACTGCAGGCCACTGTGGTTTCCCCTGGTCCTCAGTCTCTTGGACTGGCTCTGAGAACACTGATGCTACAGAGCTGTTGGGGACATTTAGTGGCCCATTTGTAGGAGCTGCCCAGCTCTGCAATCTCAGCCGGTGGGAACACCTGCTGCGCATTCCGTGGTTCACTCACTGAGCTGACCTGCATGGGAGCCTTCAACACGCCATCCTGAGCGACACGGGGCATTCACTCACTGTGTTTGCTGAGCACCCACCACAAGTTAGGTGAGTTCTCAGTGCCGGAGCCCTGTAGGGGCCAGCTTTCTAGGGTTACCTTCCAGTAGGACAGACAGACAGACAGACAAACAGACACCAACAGGAAACCAGACACACTGCTAGGCGGTGGTAACACATCACAGGGACCAAAAGGGTGTGCGGGGAGTAGACGGTGATGGTGCGGGGCACGGGGTATGGAGGAGGTGGAGAGGAGATATGAGGACCGACTGTCTCTGGGCAGAGGCTCTGGGCTTGCGCCTGGTGGAAGGAAGGGAGCCAGGCCTCCAGGCTTGGGAGAGTCGCTTGTTGGGTTGGGAGCAGCAGCTGCGGAGGCCCCGGGGCAGCGTCAGGGAGGCTGCTGTGCTGGGTGAGCAGGTGAAGAGGATTTTGATTCCATTAGCTGGTTTTGATTTACGTTTTAAAAGGGTCAGTCTGCTGTGAGGGACAAAGGATAGGGCAGACAAGCCTCAGCGTGGGTGAGAGGTGGATAGCCAACCGGCCAAGCATTCTTCTAAGCTGGCTGGGATCAGTCCATTTTCATTCGAGCTCTGGCCACTGACTGGCCGGTGACCCGGGGTCAGTCACCCAATTGCAATGTGCCTCGGTTTCCTTGCCTATAGACATAAGAGGTGTGGGGGTGGGGGCAATGGACACAGCAGACAAGTTGTGCAGATATCTGAAGCACTCCCTCCTGGTAGGAGGGGAGGAAGAAACACAAGAAAGTCACGAGACTCAGAGGCCCTGCCAAGGGATGAGAAACCAGCGTAAGGCAGCTGAGGAGGAGAGGCGCTTCCGTGGAGACGACTGTGAGGTGTGCGGGGACTCCAGGGAGCGCTGTGAGCCACCACGAACACCCGAGTGGCCTTTTAGTGATGCAGCTCGCCGCATCACCCATGCTCCAACTCTGCCTTCAGCACCCGCACAGCCCATACCCACACTGTATGAGTCTCAGTTTCCCCATCTGTGAGGTGAGGACAACTCCAACCCTGAGATCCTGATGAGCCAGCTGCCAAATGCCACGCAGAGCTGGGAAGGTGTGTGTGTGTGTGTGTGTGTGTGTGTGTGTGTGTGTGTGTGTGTGTGTGTGTGGTAGGGGGCACTTCCTTGCACATCTTACCTCAGATAAGTGCCAATGGACAAGGATGGGGTGACCAACATGACACCTGACCCTTCCTCACCTGTCACAGGCAGACGCAGAGACTGATATGCTGAGCTCCAGGGCGCCAGCAGCTCCCCCAAGGTGGTCCTGGGCTGGAGAGGAGCACACTCAGCCAGATCCTGCGCTGCTGCATCTGTGCACTGTCTGACCTGCTGCACTGTCACAGCAGACTCACGGAGCATCTGCTGTGAGCCACAGGCAGCCCCAACACGGGCTGAGAGCCTGCCACCACCAGGAACCACAGTGCGTCAGAAAAGCAAGCTGTGGGACCATCAGCAGGGGACAGGGCCAGGCAGGAAACCTAGAAGCCCTGGGAGGCAGCTGGTCTGGGGATAGCAGATGCCACAATCGTAGCCAAGAGGGAGGCTGGAGTGCTCCCTCCTGAGGAAGGCTGGAGTGCTCCCTCCTGAGGAAGGCAGAGTCCTGGGGAAGGTAAAGAGATTCAGGTGTGGAGGGCACTGGGGCCTTAGGGAGCTGAGTCTTGGGACGCCTGGACAGAGATGGAGCCTGAGAATCTAAACGAAAACTCCTCTGTAAAATTCAATGAAGGCTGTGAGCCTCCAGCTTCCCCTGGCTCCCCTGCTCCCTAACTCAGTTAGTGACATGGGACAGGACAGCTGTTTAATTTGGAAGTTGGTTCTGCCTTCAGCCAGGCAGTCACCATGCTCAAGAAGATGATGCGTGGGTGTTCACAGGGCCTGAGGGGCCAGGGCTGTGCCACAACCCCCCCCCCAGGGTCTCCAGGATAGCTGCAGAAATGTCAATTTAGGGACTACCCAGGGCTTATCATTCACTAAACCCCAGCTGGGAGCCACGGGCCTGGTGGTGGCCCTGCTGCTAGTGGGGGTGGTCGGTGGTACAGCTTTCTGTCTTCCCTATAGCAGGGCAGGGGTGCCCTAGAACCCGGGCAGTTGAGACCACACACAGCTGCCTGGATCTCCATATTGCAGGAGCCATTGACTTGCCCTGCCCAGCTGGCCACCTGGCCTTAAGCCTCGATCTCCCTAGAGGGTCCAGATCTACTGCTCAGATCAGCTTAGAGAAAGCCTCCCCAGGGGCCAAGTGACACATGGGTCTGCCACCACTGCCCTCTTGGTGACCTGGCTCCTTTGCTGGGAGCTATGTCCCAGAAGTCAGAGAAGCAGGCAGTCATGACGCTGAGGCTGAGGCCTTCACCACAAGTCAGGAAAGAGGAAGAGGTAGCTTCGGGCGGAGCTCAGATGTCCTCCATAGTCCTGCACCCCATCCTTCTAAGCTCCCAGGGGATCCCCGGGTTGCAAAGGAGGAGGTCCACAAGGATGTTCAGCCCTTTCCCCTTGCTTCCCCCCTGACAAAACTGAAGCCTCATCCAAGGTCATGGCACATCCAAGGGCAAAAAGGGACAGGGAGGTGGTGTGCAAATGTGACCAGTGACTAGAACATTCCATCACAACATATCACAGCCCATGGGCTTCTAGGCTATGGTTTGAATGGGTAACCTGGTGGCCTCAGGCACAACTTCCCAAGTCTGTAGAAGGAATCAGGAGAGCAGGGATATCTGAGCTCCATAGTATGTGAGTCCCAAATGGCCGGGCAGACCCCTTCCCTCAGACGCTATAAACTAGTTTTTGTACAGTGCCAAGATTTGGGCACACCCCTGCTACCTCCTCTGTTCCAAAGGTGCAGCATGACACTTGGCGTACAGTCAGTGCACAATATGTTCAAATTAATGAAAGCCAGTGCAGGAAGGGGGAACACCGAGACAGCCGCAGCACTCACAGCAGGTAAGCCAGGGGCATCAGGAACAGAGGTGGCAGTTCAGTACGTCTCCAGGTACCATGGGCCTCCATGCAGGCAAACACCCAGCTAGGAGTACAGAACACTAATGACCTTCATTGCCCTCTTGGGCAGCAGGTGGGGATTCAAAGCTAGAGGGTAGAGGAGACCTGTTCCACCTAAAACTTGTCCACACCAAGATGTTTCCCAGTGAGTCTCAGTACCCCACCAGGCAAAGCCCTCTTGGCCAGTAAGCTCTGGGTGCTCTGTTACACAGATGTGAGGCTTACACTTGGGAAAGTGCCGCCATTGGGCACAGTAAACAGATTGCTCACTGTCTAGCTTTCCCTTCATCTGTGTCTTGGTGACTCTCCATGCCCTCCCCTCCTACCACAGGGGCCAGGCCAGGGCCCATCCAAGGGAAAACAGACAGTGGCTGTCTCCTACATGATAGACAGGCAGTTACTCGTTCCATAAGCACAAGAGACTGCAAGTGCATCCAATTAATTATTCACGCCATTCATTATTGAAAAGGTCGCTACCTGGGAGCTGCTCCAGTAGTGGCTAACAAGCTCATCTGCACCTCCTAGGAGACGCAGCAAAGGTTCATGGTGTGCCTACTATGCACAGGCACCCTCAGAATAGCCCAAGAAGGGGTATACAGCCCTGACTTCTCACGAGGACTGGAAGATCGAGGGTGACAAAACAGTCTGAGATTGTAGTACTGGGAAGTGACAGAGACGAGGCTTGTTCTGGCCAGTCACCCACAGAGCCCAGTGGTCATTGTGCTAGAGGTCACAGGCAAGAGGGCTCAAGGTGACCTTGTAGCCTGGGCTCTGGGCTGTGACCCCCAGGGATGCTGTGCTCAGAGTCTGAGTGCCCAGAGTCTGTGCCCACAGCTACTGCCTAGGCCCCCAGACTTTGTCCACCCAAGACCCTGGGCCAAGGAGCAGGCCATGCCTGTCTCTGTCTTTGGGTCACTTGGCCCCATGAGATATCTGCTCTCAAAGTCCTCAGCTCTGAAGAGCAATACTGCCACCCTCTACCATCACCATGACACTGGAGTATAGGGCAGAGATGACAGCTGCCCAGATGAGACCAGACCTGGCCATCCCCAACGCCAAGTCCTTGATATGTCACCTCCCTTGCCAGCATCCTCTCTTCTGAACCACTGCAGGACAGCCTGCCTGAGTCACCTCCAGGTATGTACAGAAAAGGAACTAAACACCAGGTTTACTTTCTGGCCTCATGCTGAGAACTCGCTCCCAATCCCTGAGTACCAAACCACACACATACACACACACACAAAAGCCATCCAACTTCCCCTTTCACCTTGTCAACTAGGAAACTCAAGTGACAACCTGTCCTTTTGGCTTCTCATCTACATGCATGTGTGCCAGCATGAGTGGCTTCAAGTCCTCCTTGGCAAACAGCAAGGACAGCAAACAGCCTGGTCACTCATGAGCTGAATGCAGCAGCAGTAACAGTATCAAGCCCACCAAGTACACCCAAGCTGTTATTGCAAACACTCACCAGGCAGATGAGCTTTGGAAGGCCATCAGGGGTGGGCTGTGTGTGTCTCCCCGCAGCGTGTGCACAGCCTGAGGGGCTTGCTGCAGGACACCAGGGGGAGGCTGCGGCTGTGGGGCTGGCTGTCCAGGCCGAGGGGCTCGAGCAGGGTTCCCCCACCGCCGGGGGTCCTGTTTCATCCACCGTCCGTGGATGCCCCACCGAGTCAGGTAAACCTTGCAAATGTCGTAGTTCATGGCGGAATAATAGAGCAAATCCAGGACCAGGAGGGTGAGCACGAAGAAGCCGTAGATCCACACTCCAAGCAGTGCTGTGTAGTTGCTGGAGAAGGAGAAGCAGAGACTGAGCCACACTCCCAACGGCACCAGCCCCATCGGCCAGCATCCACCACAGGCTGACAGACAGACACTGCGGGCATTCGGGTTCCCCCTCACCTGCCCTGTCTCCCTCGTATGCCACTGCCCTGCCCCTGCCCTGTGCTCTAGGCTAGAATCCCTGGGTCCTTCCCTAACAGGCACTCTGCAAGAGCTCCAAGCTTTCTAAGTTGGATATTGGGGTTCCCATAACTAGGGCCCCTACCTCACCCTACTTCTTCCAGTGTGTGCCCTGGCTCCCTGCTGGCTTTGTGCATACCACAACTGCCCCAGGGCGCTCTTATTCCATCCCTCCTGGCCTCACTCCCAAGGGCAGAAGCTGGAGGCCTGCCATTGCCTTGGGACAAAGTAAACCAAGTCACACCACATGTGCCTTAGAACCCCCCATGCTACCCGCCCTCTGCAGGGGTGCTACACCTCCAGGCCCTCTGCAGGGGTGCTATACCTTTGGGCCCTCTGCAGACCTCCCTTCCCAGTGTCTGTGAGTCCCACATCAGCTCAGCACCCACCTTTGCTAAGGTCCTTTCACTTTGATCCCAGGGAAACCTTAATCTCCTCCATCCATGACTTTTTAGTATCAGTATTGCTTTTTGTTTTGTTTTGTTTTAAAGATAGGGCCGTATGAAGCCCAGGCTGGCCTTGAGCTTGCTATACAGCCAAGGAACCTCCACTTTCAGAGCATTGGGATGACAAGTGCTTGGTTTGTGTGGTGATGGGAAAGGAACTTGAGGCTTCAGGCATGCTAGGAAAACACTCTGCTGACTGAGCCGCATCTCTGGCCTCTCCATCACCCCTGTTTCCTCACACAGCATTTTCCCCATAGAGGCTGCAGTCGCCCTGCAGAGACAGCAGGAGCCCTCAGGGCTTAGCACTTCAGATGCTCTCAAGCTGTAGCAAGCCCTGATGACTCACTGAAGTACATATCTGGCCACTCCCAGTCCAGGACCTTTGCACAGGCCACACCCTTTTCCAGGTAGCCTTTTCCCGAATCCCCGCCCCCTTCCCCTCTGCCCAGTTGTTTGTGGTACCCTCATTTGAGACTCTTCCACACCCTCCAAGCCTGCATTAAGCCCAACCTCTCCTCTAGTGCCTATCACCTGGCATATCTGTCCCCCCCACGCCCCCTCCCCCAGGTTGGGGTCTTAGTCCCCTAGAGTGGGCTGGTTCCAAGTTTGCCACTGAAGCTGGGTTGCTGAACTCCTGATAGAACCTACCAGGGACTGGGGTTGTTTAAAGGGCCTGGCTTATCAACTGCTCAAGTGACACCCACCTCAGTCTGTCCCCTGCCATGGGCATCTGCTTGAGTGGGTGTGGGCCAGCCAGGGTGTCGAGAAGAGGCCCAGCGGCCTGGCAGAAGCAAGCTAGATATCTCCACTCCAGGGAGACCTGCGGCTCTGTCCAGACAGGATCCTTGAGTGCTGCAGCCCCTGGAGGTCCACCTGGAGCTGGGGCTCCTGCCTGCCTAAGCTAGGAAGCCTTGGCCTGTCTGCTTTGCTGTGTGGTCTATGAGAAACCCTGCCCATCTCCGTGTAAGGTACGGCCTTAAGTCTCTCCTCCACTTAGATTCCCAGCTCTGCATCTTCTAAGGCTGGCTCCTAGTTCCAGCTGTGCCCTCAGGTGGTGAGAGGGTGGCCATCCCCTACCCAGCCCTGCCAAAACAGAAGCAGACCCAATAAGCCCACTTTCATTCTCTACTCAGGGGAATGTTTCCCAGCTGGCCAAGTTCTTGATCTGAAGACTTCCCCTGGGAGCAGGACAATGGGGGGGGGGAGGGCTAATAGGGAGGCTCTGCTATGCTGTGCACATGGAGCCTGGCAGCCTCAAGTCAGGTGCTCAGAACTCAGTACTACTCAGTACCTGGGCTCAGTACCACTCAGTGCTCAGATCCCAGCCAATCCTAAACACCAGAAATCTTAGCTCCTTCCCACAACACCACCTCACAGCCAAACTAGGCAAAGGTGTGAATGACTGACAGCCAAGCCTGGGGCCTTTTGTTAATGGACACTAGCTTTGCCTGGAAGTGTCAGGGCATAACAGAGAGTGCCTGGCAGAGACAAAAGGCCAAGAGCCCAACTCGGCCCTTCCATGCTCACGGGAGACAGATGTCTAGGCGGGCTCTGGCCCCAGGCACCCAGCTCTCCCCAGATTTCTCTCTCTTGCAGCCCCCATGGCAGGGCTCTGAGAACCAGGCTGTTCTTGGTGGTTCCCATGGCAGCAGCCTGGGGGCTGAGGAGGCGGCGAGGGAGCAGGGCCATTCTCTGCAGATGCTACTTGGCACCCAGAGCAAGAGGGCTGGTGTCCCTGCTTGGAGCTAGGAACACCCCAAAAGTGAGCACAGGGCAAGGGTCAGCTGCAGGTCTCTGCTCTGCATAGAGCCAAGAAGGCAGGAAATGGACCTCTCATGCCCAAGAGTGAATTTGGGCAGAGAGAAGCACGTCTGGGGGACCAAAGTCTACTCTAAGACACCCCCCCCCAGTCACGTCAGCAGTACCAGGATTCGAACTCTTCAGAACACCTGGGCCAAACCCAACACAGACAGCTCCAGAGATGTCCCACCCAAGACTTAGGGACCAAGTCACCCCACCTATGATGCATCTTCCCACCTGGTGTGCACCGAGCATACCCTGGGGCTGGGTCATAGCTTGACCATAGGAAGCCTCCTAGAGCTTCATATGTTTCATTCATTAATGCTGTTGCCCCACGGTACTGGGGACTCCCTGAGGGCAGGCAAGCATCAAACTTGTCCTTTTGTGTCCCACACAGGGTTGTAGTGTGGACACAGCGAGAACTGAGGATGGGCAGGACATGGGTGAATGTGGCACTGCCCAGCGCTAGACAGCTGTTATCGTTGTGTGAATGACCAATGGTAAACAGGGACGCTTTCAGTTCTGAGCCTAGGCTGCATGCCCTGGTCTCAGAGTGATGAGCCCATTTTCCAGATGAGCCCCCAGAGGGGCAATCACGTGCCACCACTCACAGAGATTAAGTCACTTCTGTTTTATTGAAGTGGAAACTGAGGTTCATCTCCCCAAGACTATGGAAAGTAAATTTTGAAGAGTTGAAATTGGGTCCCAGTGGTTCACATCTTCTGAGCCCATTCATCTATGACGGGGGGGGGGGGGGGATACTCCATGGTAAGGCTGACGGGGACACTTCCACAGTGTGTTCTGCATTTGTGTCTCATGGAAGACTTCATCCATGAGCTAGACACCCGAGAGGGAGTCCCTGGCTTCTGTGCTCTCACCCTGACTCTACCTGCGTGCACAGCTTGGCCTCTGCAGCAGGACAGTGCCCCTGCCTGCCTGTTTATTTCCACTTCTATAGAAGGTGCTGTTACAGGGAACATGCCCCGTTGTGTGGCAGGTGCGGTGCCAGGACCACAGACCTCCCTGCAACAGCTTGCAGCCCCCAGGCCATGCCCTCCAAGGTTGCCAGCTGCAAGGATTTGAGTCTTTAATTTTTAAAATGTAATTTAAAATATGCAATCTGGAAATTAACTGCATCCAGATGCCAGGGCCCAGCCCATGCCTGCGTGGAGGGAGAAGATAAAAGGCAGAGTCTGTGGTGGGGCATCTGTGACTGCCCAGCCTCAGACAGTGGCGTGAGCCTGTGCGGGACTGTGTGACTCAGCTTCCTTGGGATTTCCAAAGTGATAACAGAACCTCACTGCTGGAGCAATCACAGTGTGTCTGTGGAGCAGAGCGGCTATGTCAGCAGCCATCGGCAGACAGCTGCAGCCTGGCCTGGCCTGGCACTCCCCATCTCCACCAGGAAGTCATGGGAGCAGTGGCCCAGTCTGTCAGTCAGAGCAGGAAGACCCTGACTGCAGCATCCCTGGCCTGCTGGTTGGGTTGGCTGTTTGGGAGTGGGAACAATCCCCTGCAGGCTTCATCCAGGAACTCAGAGCACACTGTGGAAGTGTCCTGGTCAGCCTTGAAACGGAGACACACGGGCTCTGCAGGTGGGAGCCCCTAGGACCCAAATTCAGCTTTTCAAAATTCACTTTCCATAGTCTTGGGAAGATGAACCATAGTTTCTCCTTTGAGTAGGAATGACGACATGTCCCACTTTGGGGGTGTAACCGTGAGGCTTCGCAAACTGACATGAGGTCCAAGAAAGAGAAGGGACCTTGGGGGTTGCAGCCAGTGGAGTTTTTTCCTGGAGTGCCTGAAGCCCTGGGTTTTATTCCCAGAACCACATAAAGGGTTTGTGTTGGCAAATGTCTGTAATCTCAGCACCTGGAATGTGGTAACAGGAAGATTAGGCATTCAAGGTCATCCTCGGCTACATAGAGAGTTGGTAACTAGCCTGGGCTACATGAGACCCTGTCTCAAACAAAACAGAAAGGGACAGAGAAGAAACCAATGAGGGCAGGCTCGTGGGAAGCACAGCAGAAGCTGGGTGGAGTAGTGCACACCTGCGACCCCAGCGCTCAGGAGGCCGAGTTCATGGCTAGCCTGGGCTACACAATGAGACCCTGTCTCTAAACGATCACAAATAAAAACCACAGAGAACGTACTCAATAGGTCTATGTCCAGATAGGCACAGTACCTCCTCACCTAAGGCCACACATGAAGACAGAGGTCAGGCAGTGCAGTGGTGGGTGGCACAGGCCTGAGTCCCAGTAGAGTCAGCTGCTGTCTTTTCTGGCTTGCAGGCTTGACCAAAGGGCTGGGCTACTGGGTCAGGAAGCAGCATGCTGCATGCAAGAGCCAGCTAGACCCAGCGGCACACCCAGGCGCAGGCCCTGAATAAACCCACCAACACCTCTCTCCAGGGCTTGGGCAGATCTGGGTGTGATGGGGCTGGCACTGGCTAGGGCCATGTGAGCAGAGGTGCCATGGCCATTCCTAGCAGGAGCCACCAAATGCCACATGTGACTTCACCATTGCCCCTTTCCCTTTGCCCCAGATGGGGACCACTACACCAGCCTGGGCCACGACAGTC